AAAAACAAAAAAAGAAAAATGGCGTTTTTGATTTTACTAGGGGGTAAATTACACTAAATCACGCGTTATGTAACCAGGTGAATTTCACCAAATGGTGAATATCACCATAAAATATTTAATTACGAAATTTTAAATTTTAAATGCAATATGAAAATCATGGTGAAACATACCATATGGTGAAATTCACCACTTGGTGAATTTCACCGACGGTTATTTTCAAATTAATCCAAAATAATAATAAAAACATTAAAAAATTATTGTGACATTATTTTGAGATATTTTTATAGATCTAGATACAATACAATTATAAAATAATAACTAAAGTATAATAAAAACATTTTAATATATTAAATGTCTTTTAGTAGTATTTTAAAATTATTACAAAATCATTTCAAAAAATTGGCCATTTTTAGTAAAGTTTCAAAACTTACTAATCCAAAATTATATCATACAGGTTGAAAAGTGAAAAATCAGGCATCAATCGGTCACCAATCAGCTACCTGATTGGTGCCTGATTGGTGACTGATTGATGCCTGATTTTTTACTTTTCGACCTGTGTCAAAATCTGGGATCATTCCTAAAAAAAATTTGAAAATGGAACGTTAGTAATGCCTACTAATATTTCCAATTTAAAAAAATTTTATACCTTCTTTATTTACCTTCTAAGATGTTTTGTTAGTTTCAAAGCATCTTGAAGGTCCTACAATAAAAAAAAATGAAAATGAAATGTTAGTAAATGACACTAACATCCATAATTTAAAAAAATTTTTCTCTCCCCTTTTTTATTTACCTTTCAAGATGTTTCATCAGTTTTAAAGCGTCTTGAGGATTCTATAATAAAAAAAAAGAAAATAGAATGTTAATAAATGACACTAACATCCATAATTTAAAAAAAAAATTTCCCTTCCTTTTTTTATTTACCTTCTGAGACGTTTTATCAGTTTCAAAGCGTTTTGAAGGTTCCTACAATAAAAAAAAGAATTGGAACGTTAGTACTGTCTACTAATGTTCTTAATTTAAAAATAATATCCTTCCTCTCCTTCTTTATTTACCTTCTGAGACGTTTCGTAATGTTTCACATGAATCAAATTTTTTCTCTGAAATTCAATTCGATTCAGACTCGATTTGACCTCCAAAAATTATTATCTCAGGATCTAGTGTTCCAATTTCAATGATCTTTTTTTAATTGTTAAGTCTCATTACCCTTATCAAAATAAAAAAATGATCATTAAAATTGAACCGCTAGATCAAAAGTTATTTGCAAAATATGTTTTTATTATTTGGAAACAATCAGGGTCACACTATATTATGAGTCGATTTGTAACGTTTTGTCAGTTTCAAAGCGTCTTGAGGGTCCTATAATAAAAAAAAAAGAATTGGAACATTAGTACTGTTTACTAATATTTCTAATTTAAAAAAATACCCTTTCTCTTCTTTTTTATTTACCTTTTGAGACGTTTCATCAGTTATGAAGCGTCTTAAAGGTCCCTACAATAAAAAAAAAGAATTGGAATGTTAGTAAATGACACTAATGTCCATTATTTAAAAAATTCCTCCTTCTTTCTGATATTCCATTAGTTCTGTAAAAAATAAACTTTTTTTTGTTTTTTTTTATAAAAAAAGATCATGATCCGATAATCTATTATTCATCAGACTTATCAGATCCAATGATCTATCTAATACAAAAAGAAACAAGTCAGAATAGTATCAGAATAACAGAATCAATCTAATTTTATCTGTTATTTTTGTAAAAACTAAGCTTTTCATGGATCTATTTATAGAAAATATAAATAATAATTCAATAAATTCCATGATATAAGATTATTAAAGATGAAAAATAAAAAACAGATCAACTTTTTTTACAGGGCGAGAAAAAATTAAAAAATCAGAACATTAACAAACGTTCTGATAAAAAATTACTAAATTAGAATGTTAATAAACATTTTAATAGATTTTTTTTTTAAAAAAAAAACATTTTGATATTAGGTAATATTCTGATAAAAAAAATTAATAAATCAGAATGTTAACAAATGTTCTAATAGGTTTTTTTAAAAAAAAGAAACATTTGAAATGTTAAAAATATTTTGATAAAAAAATTAAAAAATCAGAACGTTAGGTAATGTTTCAATAAAAAAATTAATAAATCAGAATATTAATAAATGTTCTAATAGGGTTTTTTTTAATATTCAAAACGCTAAAAATGTTTCGATAAAAGAATCAAAAAATTGAAACATTAACAAATGTTCTGATAGATTTTTTTTTAAAAAAAGAAACATTTAAAATGTTAATATTTTAATAAAAAAATTAATAAATCAGAATGTTAATTAACGTTCTAATAGAAAAATAAACGTTCAAAATGTTAAAAATGTTTTGATAAAAAATTAAAAAATTGGAACATTAGTTAACATTTTGGTAGATTTTTTTAAAAAAAAACATTTGAAATGTTAAAAACGTTTCGATAAAAAAACTAAAAAATTGGAACATTAATTAATGTTCTGATAGATTTTTTTTAAAAAAAGAACATTCAAAACATTAAAAACGTATTAATAAAAAAATTAATAAATCGGAATGTTAGGTAATATTTTGATAGATTTTTTTTTAAAAAAAAAAACATTCAAAACATTAAAAATATTTTGATAAAAAAATCAAAAAATCTGAATGTTAGTTAATGTTCTAGTAGATTTTTTTTTTAAAAAAAAAAACATTCAAAACATTAAAAATATTTTGATAAAAAAATCAAAAAATCTGAATGTTAGTTAATGTTCTAGTAGATTTTTTTTTTAAAAAAAGTGTTCAAAATGTTAATAAAAAAATTAATAAATCAGAATGTTGACAAATGTTCTAATAAATTTTAATAAAAAATTCAAATAAAAAAAATGGAATATCAAAAAACTTTCTGTAAAATAAAAAATTGAAATGTTTAAAAATGTTTTATTTAGAAAGTAAAATAAAGAAAAAAATAAGTTAAAGATTGATTTTAACTTTTAAAAATTGGTTTTAACTTCATCTAAAAGAAAGTAATCTGAAGCTAAAACCATTATATTCAATATAGCATGTATCATTGTATCGCATTTTGATCAAGCAATATTATTGATCAGCCAATATTACAATTAAAAAAAGTTAAACTTAAATACCAATTGATCAAATATAAAATAATCGGTAAATTTAAATTATATAATAGTTATCAATTGGGTAATAACCTTATTGATACCTAATTGAAGTATACACTAATTTCTAACTATTGAATAAATCAGGTGGTCGATCAAAAAAAAGTTACTGATCAGGTAGGTATTCGATTGGTCAGCGTTTTACCTGTGATACTAGTAATTTATAAAAATGTAAAAAATGTTGAAAAACATTAATGAAAATACTTAGTAACTGATTTAAAACTTGTAATATATGTTGTCATAAAGCTACTTTGCAATATGAACAATCTAATTAATCTAACACAGAGATAGAACTTTTAATTATATCAAAACAATTATTTGAAAGAATTTTAGAAATCAATACTAATGAATATTTAGAAAATGATTTAACTAATAGTATAGATTTTAATTGCAATATTTCAAAAAATTTTTTGACCATATCTTGATTTAGTAATTTATATTTTTTTTACACATCATCAATAACAATAAATATTTATGTGGTCGTGAAAAATCTTCATGGTGGAAAGATTTTAAAAAGGAGTGGAATAATTTTCAAAAAAAGAAATTAATAATGAATATTTACTGATACTGAAAAGTGGATGTGTTCTTGTTTAGACTTTTTAAAAATCAATTTTTTTCTTTGTAAGTATTTAATTAATGCTTTTCAATTTACAATTAATCCTACTTTTTTTTACAAAGTTCAATATCAAGAGATATATCCATTTATATTTTTACCAGGTAAAAAATCCATGTAAAATCCACCTTTTAATTCAAATAGAGGTAAATAATATTTATATTATTATATTAACAATAACAAACCTTTTTTTTATTTTTTTTTAGATAATACATTAAGCAATATAACAAATTTAATGGATAATAATAAAACTGCTCAATTCACAATTGTAAATTCAATGAGTGATGATGATGATGACCAAGAGATGCAACTTTTTAAAGAGCATTGAAAATTGTAGAAGAACAAGAAAATATTGGTAATAAAAAGATGGGTACAAGCAGTTTAGACAAGTTTTAAGGGAATTAAAAGTTTAGTAACTGATATTAATAAGTATGAAAGACAGATTACAAATCCACACACTTTCACAATAAATATACAATGTTTTTAGAGAGGTGATTTATTTTTTGTAAATAGGCAGTAAATTAATAAATTTCGTAACTCTTTAATCACAATCATGTGATATGTGATGATCACATGATTTACGCAGAATTTTAAGTGATGAATTTTAAAATCACGTGATCGAACACGACTTCAATAACCTATTTTTTCACCCTCAAATTGGTGGTGTTTACAACGATAAATCGAATTAACTTATACTAAAATGATAATGATTTTCGTAATTTCCATAATCTACATAATCTACATACTATATTTGATTTCATCAAGACAAATCCGAATAATTAATAAAATTAATAAGCAATAAAATTAAGTTTAGAAATTTAATTCGGTATTCATCTCGAGGTTAAAACCCAAGGTTAAACCCCCCAAATTACCTGTAATGTGCCAAAGAATAATTTATTTGCAAAAAAAATGATAAATAAATTGCTTATATTTTAGTAATACAGAATAATAATAGGCAGATGCAAAGTTAGATACTGATGCTTCAAAGTTAGATACTGCAAAGATACTACAAAGTTAGATACCGCAAAGTTAGATACCGTAAAGTTAGTCTTTACTTTATTTCATCTCTTGGAAGTACGTCATTTCTTCTTAATGATCTATGGTATAAGTAAAATTCAAACCTGAATTTGGTGTACTTCCCATTACAATATATCTAAATAAAAAAAATAACAATAATTTAAGATTTAATTCGAAATTTATATATACATAAATAATAATAATTACCCTTTATTAGCAACAACACCTCTACATTTGATCATTACGGAATATTTGAGTACCCAACGCGGTAATAAATCATTATTTAAACTAATTTTATTGGTATTAGTTTCTTCAATAATGTTTCGAAAAGTTTTTGATGGCAATATAACTATTTATTTTTAAAAAATTCGATTAATTTTTTTTTAAGACGTAATTTTTTTTTATTAATCGATAGATTACCGGTCGGATCACGGTGTGTAAGCAATTCTATATCATTCTTTTTAGCGAATTCAAGAATCTCCCCATTATTACAATCTATAATATTAATTTGATTTACCTTTGGAGAAATCTATTAAATAAATTCAAATTTCATCAAAAAAGTGTGATTGAAAATTTATAAACCTAAACTAGATTTTAATCATCTTTAACTTACCTCAACCGCATTTATAAAACTTTCTAGTCTATTTTTAGTAAATTCACTAACACCTAATTTATGAATTCTATTATTCACGTGGAATTTTTCTAATTCTGTCCAAACTTTTATTAGATTATCAAAATCACTTTTAGTGAAATTGTCATTAGAGGAAGAACCATCGACCTCATCAGAATAATTAAATATTAGCCCATTAAAATAAACGATAAATGTGTCTATTGTATTAATTCCAAGTACTTTAAATAAGTGATATATTGATTGTGCTACGTATTGTGGAGGTGGTGAAGGTTCGATTACTGAGGTTGACGACGATGGTAAATAAAATAATTTTGCTATTATAATCGAAAATAATAATTTTTTAGTATTTTCTTCATATTTCTTCATAAAATAAAAAATAAGATGAATTTTAATTTCACCTGTGATCTCATATTCATTACGATCTTCCGTTAATTTTTGATCAAAGTAAAATGGATCAGGTATTTCTAATATCCCATTTACTTTATCAAAAGTCCACATAGGTTTTGTGTAAAGATATGCTTTCAACGTATCAGTAAGTGCACTAACCAACTACAAAAAAGGTTCATTAAGAACTTTTCGTAAATTTGCAAAAAAAAAAATACTTTCTCTCAAAATATTACTTCTTGATTATTCTTTCCAGAGTTAAAAGAATTAATATTCGCTTGTTTCATGACATTTCCCGTATAGACAATAACTCTAGCTGCATCAGATGTTTTAATAACACTATTTCCGTTCGAAGTCTGCCCTTCATTATTTTCTGTCATTGTTTATGTATTTAATAAGAATCATATAAAAATAATAAAAAAAGATAAGTCTTCTTTATTTATAGTTTTTTTCATAATGTTGTACGTAAACATTTTTCGAAATTCGAAATTAAGGTTGATCAATACTAATGATATATATTTTCTAAAATTAGAAACGATCTTAACTTTTATGTACGCTAAGCCTATTTGAGTTAAAAATATTTGATTAATAATAATTTAGCATAATAGATAATTTTTATGTAATGTGTCCATGATTTATTAAATCATTCTGTGTTCATACATTCGCACATGATTTCGTGCGCATATTAAAAATTAATTTCTGGAAAAAATCGATCTTACTAATCAAATCACGTCATAATCTCGCTTAATCGCATAAACAGATAATACTAAATTTAGATGACAGTAATGTTGTGTATTGTTTTTTACTAAGCCATTCAAATTAATATATGCCGACAACCCGATAACCCGGCAAGTTCTCGGCAACTCTAAAATTTTTACAGCTGATTTCATAATGTACGGGACACTTAGCAAAATTTAAAGAACTCGGAAATATTCGGTAAAAGTTCAAAATAAGATAAAATTATACCACCATTCTCGGAATAGTACTCCAAAATTAGCGTATTTTTATTTTATATCAAGCTTTACCGAATACTTCCGAGTTCTTTAAAATTTGCTAAGTGTCCCGCACATTATGAAATCAGTTGTAAGAGGTAATTTTTTTTAACTGATTTAACTAAAGAATATAAATAACAATATATATTTATGTTTATTAAGTCTGAATAAATAATTATATAAATACAAATTTTAACATTTAATACTAATTAAGTAATCGATCAATTCTATACAACTATTTCACATTCACATGGACATTCACTAACGGGACATACTTTATGCTTTTGAAACCATTGTAACATATGTATAGCATGTCCTCCATGACGACATGATTGACACCACGTAAACCATAGATCGAATCCAGATGGTTCTGTGAAAAGAAAATTATTAATTTAAAATTTAATAAATAATTAATTTAATAAATAATTGTCCTTTCACTTACTATCATTTGAAGATCCATGTTGTAAGTTAGCGGTTACGTTTTCATCAGTGGGTGTTCCAAGACTTAATAAACATATAGAACATCGAGGTAAAGATTTTCGACACCCAGGACAACTTGTGGGCTTAAAAAAAACAAATCAGCAATCATTTATTGAAAAGCATTACCAAATACCGTAGGCGACTTTTTACCTTTTGTCTGAAAATCATTCCAGATGCCCCAGAATATGGAGGTAAAGTGACTCTATCTTTTTTCATACCTATCCATAAACTGTGTGAAACGCTTTGGCAGCAAAAATTACATCTTACGTAAACTTGTGGTGGCACCATATCTGCCGCCGATGATGTTGAGGACTCCATATGTTTACCACGAGTAATATCAAATTTTGCTCGTATATGGAACATTTCCCATTGATCTAGCAACGTACGATAACTAGAATGAAATAAGCAAGAAACTAAACTTGAACAAAATGGTCAGAATTATAACTGTTCAAATATGGACACGTTCAATTACCTTTCTATCCATTTCATTACTCTCGTATCTTTGAATTTTTTAGGAACACAAAAACTCAGCGCTAGACTTGCTGTCTGAACATCACATGTATTATTTATATAATTTTCAAATAATGAAACGCCTTCCGATGTAAGACCAGTCAAAATGACACCATCTATATCACCGTCTAAAATTACTTTTGCGGTTGTGTTATGCAAGAAATCATTAAGCTATATATTCATGGTAGAAAAATAAAATCAAGACATTTAATAATTATATCAAAGTTTTTTAAGTATTCCTTACTTTAAATTAAAATTAAATACCTCTTCATCGTCCAAAAATCTCAATGCAATGCCAATTCGATCTTGTAAAGAAAGTTCTTTTTCTTGTAATACGTCCAACCAATTTCCAGATGCAATATATGAAAACATCGCTCGCAGATATGGATCGCTCATTTCGAGACTTAAATTCCTACACATTTTGCTCCAAAGTGAATTTGCCTGAGAGGATGTATCATGATTACTAACAGCATAACCGGCCAATGCAGTAGATACTAATTTCAATCGTTCATCTTTAATTAAAAAACGCGTCAGTTTATTATTCGTAATTAAAAATCAATTAATTATGAGAAGACCCGAAATATATATAGAGGTCAAGTCCAGGAGTAGTTAGTCCATTCTTTAGGGCCGTAATTAAGAGAATGTTAGTCAGTATTAAAAAAAGGCAATAAAATTTGACCGGAATTGTCCTGTCCATAAAAGGCAAGATCTACATGATTATTTTGCCCCGAACCTTTTTATAGTATATTTCGGGTCCTATTATAGGGTTATAAATTATTTACCTTTGCTATTATTTAATGCTGCAATAGCTCTCTCAGTTTTACCATGAAATAATGCCCATCCAGCAGCTTTTTCATAAGTACCCGCACGTTCCATTCTAATGGAACCATAAATAATTTCAATAATATAATTAAAAGAAAGTATGAATTTTAAAACAATTAAAATAATTTTACTTTTGAAGTGCTTCTTCTAATTCTTTTTTTCCAAAACCCCATCCACATATGGTCAATGCCAACTTTCTTTGTGGTAATTTAGATGTTGATACTGCAATAGAAAGTTCATTTGCATCAATTATTTGATCGAATCTTTCGGATGGTCTTGGCGGAGATGACTTAGGCGTTGTCATTGGTGATGTTTTTTTACCACTTGTAGACGCTAAATATTATAAAAAAAAAAATATTTTTTTTTTTAATAATGCGCGAATTTTAGGAGTATCAAATGATCAAAACACTAACCTGTCCATACTGAATGAATTCCCTGAAAATTAAAATCACTATTTCTTCCTTCTAAAGCAGATTTTTCAGCATCTAAGTAGAACATAATAAAGTTTATATTTTAAATATTTTAACATACTTCTAAATTTACAAAAAAGTAATTCCGATTGATCTAAACGTACGAGCTATCCAAGCCCATAATGCTTTTAATTTTGGAGAATCCTTTACGATTTCTTCATTAATTCGACACTATAGAATAGTTAAATGGAATATTTTTGCGTATGATAATATAACATGACTTTGTAATACTCACATCCATAGAATATCCTTCTCTAGCTCTTTTACGCATCACAAATGAAATATCTTCTTGCAATTCCTTTAATGTCTTTAAAGGTGACATTAACAACTCTTTCTTATCATCTTTTTTTGCCATGTCATCATGAGATCGATGCGTCATTATACCTCTTAATTGATTGTTCAGCATAATCTCACTTTTAGAAGAATCACTGGGTCTGGGTGTCCTATTCCCGCTATAATCATTATCTGTCTTCAAATCTAAGGAAACGCGATGTTTATGCCCGCTACTGTTATTATGCTGGTATAAATTAGATTCATCATTATTTTCGATTTCATAATGCCGATTATCATTATTACTGACATTATCGTGAATTTCATCATTAATTTTTTTTTTATGATTAAATATTGCTATATTTCCCTGTGGATCCCAATCAAAATTTGGACTTTCCTCTAATGCAATTGTTTCAAACGTTTGCTCCTTGTTTATTGCTAATAAACGATATGAATGAGTTGTCGAAATAGTTGGTATCCAAGCAAAAGATATGAGAGACTTTGATGATCTTTGTGCTTTGGGTTTGGAATAACAAAACATAAATCAAAATATTTTTAAGTACAAAAATAAGTTCAGAAATCAAAGTTTAATACAAACTTCTTCTGGACTTCCATAATATAGGAGTATCAAGTTCCTCATCTATTTTGTTGCCAAAACTAAATGTACTTCCACCAGAACCAACTCCACTTTTCTCATTAAATGGAACCGATCCTGCACCGCCTCCTCCATGACCACCAAATCCATTATTAAGATGATCAAGAGAAATTTCACCGAAATCGGACAAGTTATGTGTAGTTTCTTTTATATCATATAATGTTACATAAGAAGCATCATTAGACAAAGACGCTATTAAACCTGATCGTGATGTTGAAAATGAAATCTGAACTGGGCGTGACTCGGTGGATATACTTAGGATGTGAATTAAATAACAAGTTAACAAACATATTAAGGATATGATATAGAATAATTTTTAATTAACATTTCTCTTTTAAGCAGAAAGTTAGAAAAAAAGGATATTGCTTCCGTGGCCTTACGATCATCCCATAAAAATATATTCCCAATATAACCGTCTTCAAAACTAGCAAATCTATGATCATTATACGGGTCAGTTTTTACTCCAAAAACAGCTTTGGTTGTTATTGTAATAGAAGGATCTGAAGCTAGTGAATTCGAATAACAAAATTATTAATGATACTAATGATACTTTCTAATATCAAGATAACATGTTTATTCAAGTAATTACATCTTAAATCAAAAATCCTTAAACATCTTCCTGACATTCCAGAAACCAATTGGTTCGAATTAGCATGAAACCAGCTTATAGAATTGACATTTTCCGATAATCCAAAACTGTGAATAGCATCATTACGTGTATCAAATCTTTTTAAATATAGCCACGTGGAAAAAATGTAAGAAAATTTCAGAGGATTAAGATGTGAATGTCTTTTGTTAAGAGTATACAATCATCTTCACCTTAGTGTAGGTAAAGGTTTTGAAACCAACGAAGGATCAAATACTCCGAATCTTGCCATGTCTATTAAAAAATCATATATGGATTGATTCATAAATTTGTTGTAGAAATATCGATTTCAATTTTAATTTATAATACCATAAGGGTAATTATCCTCAACTCTACAAAATCCGACGGGGCCATTACCAGTAGCTTTATTAGAAACCTCCGCGGGAGTATCACTACCATGATCTTTATCTCCATTTATTAACGAAGATGATTTTGCTTTTTCAACATCCCAGATTAATAAACCATGATCATTTCTACCTTTGTCAAATCCGGTTGCTAGTAATCTTGGATCTGATGAAAATACTACTTTGTTACACGGTTTTGTATTTTTAGAATTTATCACATAAGGTTGTTGTTGTTGAGTGGAAGATGATGATTCATCACGAAGATTGATAAGCATAAGAACTATTTTGCCATTCGCAAATCCTGCTGCAATGCTTGGAAAAGCGGGATCAGGTGACCAATCAAAACACTATATAATGAAATATTAGAACTATGAATCTAAGAACATGAGAATAAGAAAAAGTTCTTTACATACCTTCATTTGTGTCATTGCCGTTACGAAGGGACTTACAAAATTCAATTTTGTTGATCCCTAATTATGTTCCGAGGAATATTATTAAATTGTTTTTAATTGTTTAAATAGTTGAGTCAAAGACAAACCTTGGGCGTATATTCATATAACCTCAAATCATTACTTGACCCAAGCAAAAATAAATTGTCTTCATGCGGAGACCATACAATTTGATAATTTAACCGTGAGCTTGACATGTTTTTTAATATAAACTAACGAAAGAAAAATCTCTGCTTCAGAGCATAAAGAAAGTTCAATATTTAGCGTCACACCATCAGGTTCGTGGCGCAGCCAGCAGATTGTGGCGCAACGAAAATTATAACTTCAAAAATTACTAAAATTTTTCTTTCATGAAATCCATTTTTGGAAATGATCGACAAAGATGGTAGAATCAATCATTTATATTTAAAGTCAAAATTGGCATTCATAACCTTCTTCCAAATCCTAATTAAACTTGCAGAGCAGGTGAAATTACATGATGTAGATGTAAATTACATCTACAATATAAGTTTAAAATCTTTATGTTGAAGAAAAAATCCTTATTAAAAATTTTCTATGCTATAAACCTGGCATACAAAAAAGGGGATGCTGTCACTGGTAGCAGGGCCAGTCCTTCGTAGTGGTGTGGCTTGTGCCAGCACTTGCTACACGGCCTACACCCACAAAAGCATTTAAACAATTTGCATATATTTTATCACATTAGGCCTGACCAATTAGATTCTACGGTTTACATAACCCCCCCCCTGTTTTTTATGATTATCGCCTGATATTATACAATATATGCAACCAATAATAATACGTAATTTGCTAGTCACATGATATCGTGATTTAAAAATCGTCAGCAGATTAGCAGATTATCAGTTGTCATATTCTACTTTTTTTCACACTGTGACACGCCGCCCATAGAATATTAAAATAAAATAAAATATCGTATGTTGCCACCGACGTGTTGAGTTTGAATAATATCTATGCTTGGTTTAAAATAAAAATTAGTTACAAAAATTACAAAACATTATTTTCTTACCAAATATTATTTTAAAATTTTGAACTTAATAATATAATATTAATTAATTCTCAAGCGTACAATAAACATATTCATATTTGAATAACTTTTTAATAATTAATATTTTAATATTATTTTATTTGAGCCAAAAAAAATTGACTGCGGAATTTCCTATCGAAATCCACTTGTATTTATACATTTTTAAGAAAAATATTTCTCATATTTACTATCTTTTCTAATAAAATTTGAAGATCTATTATTATATGACTATCTCATTACACTAAACTAAACTATAAATATAATTTTATTGGCTAATTATTTACCCATCGGTTAATTATTTATCCTTCGGCTGATTATTTATCCTTATTCTATATTATTGTATTTTTCGGTTATTACATTTATCCTCCTCTTAAAAAAATTTATGTCTCATAAATTAAGAATCGAATTCGGGTCTCAAACATATTATATTATTATATATGGTTCAAATATTTCCCTATCAAAATATTCCTTTAATAATTCTCCATTTACTGGTCTTCTTAAAATTCTTCCATTTAATTCTTTAATTTTGTACGATCCATTTATTATTACTTCATGTATATAATATGGTCCCTTCCATTTTTCTTCTAGTTTTCCTGTATGTGTTTTGTATTTCGCCACGTCAAAATATAATACTTTATCTCCTATTTGAAAGTTTTGTTTTCGTTTTCCAATTTTGTCATGATATTTCTTTTGTTGTTCTTGTGCTTTTTCAATATTCTTCTTTGCTTCATTTCTTTTTATTGGTAATTCTTCTATTATATGT